GGGTACATCACGATCGAGCAAGACTCCACGCAGGAGGCCGAGGGGTCTATGGCGTCCTGGCAGCTGGGTCGACTCAGCGCTGCCAGATCCTGGCGGCCTATGCCGCAGCGTTCAGCCCCGATGCGGCGAGGTCGCCGCTGGAATCCGGAGGGGTGGCGGCGATGGCCGTCGTGTCGAATCCGATGGAGTCGACGCAGGAAGATGCGTGGCCGTTCGGAACAGCGTCCTGGCCGCTGGCGGCGCACGGACTCGCAGCCGAACGGCCCGGGGCCGCGCTTGCGAGGCGTTGCACGGAAGAGCCAGCATCGGCGTACGGATTGGTTCGAGTTGCGCGCACAGTTCTTTTTTTTCTCCGTGCAAGTATTTTGGAAAGGGGGAAGGAGGGCAGAGGAGAGGACGCGAATCGACGATGGGCAATGTCTCACACTTCTCAACAAAAAAAGTTACGCGCACATTTCCGCAGTCGGCGCTGGACCCTCCTGACCGCGCTCTGGCGCCTGGTGCTCCCCGCGCCTGGCGCTTCCCGCGCGCCAGAGGAGGGTCGCTCAGCGCCGGTCCAAGAAAGCCGCGCGGGCCTGCGACAGTTTATGTTTCTGTGGGTTCGTGCGCATGCAAGTCTGCGGCTGGCACGAGGGTTCAGAGAACCAGCCGCGTTTGGGGTATTCACAGCCACGCTCCTAGTGTTTGCGCAGACCGGGGTGTTCTCGAGCTTGGGTACCTCCGTGGAAGATCTGGCCTTCAGCGAAGGAGCTCGCATTCTGAACCCACGTCGTGTGGCCACGCCTCGACTGCTCGCATCCAGTGAGGCACAACAGTGCGCCATCGAGCCGACCGAGGCCAGGCCCTCCAGGACAACAGCGCCCTGCAGCGCGCCCTGCTGCGCCTCTTCGGCGGCGAGGCGGCAGACGAGCCGCGGGCTCCAGGTCACAAGGGCGCCAGAGCTGCGCGCGCGGGATCGGGCCCCACGACGCCGTCGCCGTCACCGCGGTGCCCTCCAGCGCGCCCTGGCGCGCCTCTTCTGCGACGGGGTGGCGGACGCAGACGAGCTGCAGGCTGCGGGTCGCCCGCGCCAACGTCACGCGCGCGGGTTCTGTCCCGGTTCCGCGGCGCAGTCGTCAATTCGCAGCCTTCTCGGCCGTGCTGGGTCTCGAGCTTCTCAACGCGTACGGTAGGTTCGCGTCGTGTCGTCCGGCGGCGACCTCGCTCCTGGTGTTCAACATTAAACGCCGTGAGCGACCCAGGACCGGTCTAAGAAAGCCACGACGGAGTCGGCACGACACGAACCCGCGGTACGATGAGGCCTTGAGCTTTCTTTCCTTCGCCGCCGCACATCCTGCGCTCACGACGGGGCGGCTGCGCCGCCTCTTGCTCCGGCAGGCTCACCGCCTCCCCAAATTGATTCCTTTTTCCCCCTTGCGAGCGAAAGAGGAGGAGGAGGAGGAGGAGGAGGAGGAGGAGGAGCATTTTCCCCCCCCCCATCCCCGAGTTCCGACGCTGCGACAAAGAAAGTGGCAACGCCGCGGAGCTCACGATCCAGAGCCACTGGACCCCTTCTGTCCGCGGCATGCTCTGGGGCGGATCGATCCGTGATGGCCGCATGGCCCCATGGCCCCAGGCGAAGATGCCCAGAGTGAGAGCAGTGCAACGCCCAGATCTCTAAGGTCTGTCCCCTCCCCCCCTCCGCCCCGTGGCAGCATCTCTGGCTCAGCGCTGCGTCCGCCCGCAGCCGCAGAACTCCGTGTCCGCTGCCCCTTCTTCGAGGGAGGAAGACCACCCCGACCCAGAGAATCGACGTTTGCTAGATCTGTGACAGGAACATCATGATGCTTTACCAGTGGCGAACTGTTTTTCTATCCCAAGACTCTTTGAGGGTCGGGGGCGACGTCAGGGTTGTGTGGTGTATACCTGCTCTTCCTGTCCCGGGGAAACCCCAGAAAATGTATGCACCAGAATCCCGTATACACCAGGATCCGCCTTCCTGTGCACATTTCAGCGCAGGCCTGAAAAAGCGTCGGTGTGTAGGATGTGTTCCCCTGCTGAACTGCCCTGGCGTTTCCGAAGCAGCCCTGCCCTGCTCGATTCCTTCCCTGGGTGCTTTCACTGCACGGCTTCGCTTGTCGGGGTGTCTATTCTCTCCGCTCTGCCGCAGCCCTGACTTGTACGGCTCCGCGCCGCCCCGGCGGAGTGCCGCGCCCCGATGGCGCCTGGGGCCCCAGGGGGCGACGGGGCCGAGGACTGAGCGGAAGTCCTGGGAGGGATTGCCTTGGCATCGCTCGGACGTGTGCATTCTCCTTTCGGCGAGGACCAGCGAGGAGCATCCTCGATCATGTGGCGCAGAAGCCACGCACGAAACCGAAGAAGGCACAGGGGATGGACGTCCGAGCCATGGCCAGTGGCTGGCACGGAGCTCCTCGGGTGTCCCGGATCGTGGGCGACCGGAGTGCTTTCTGCTGTCGGTGCTTCCTGCGTTCTGCTCCTGAGGCCCGCCGCTGAGCCCCGG